GATGTATTAACAGCTTGAGGATTTGTGGTGAAGCCTCCATTCCAATTCCAACACCTTCTCTTGGGTCACTCTGCAGGTGGTGCTTGAGAATCTATGCAGCTCATCCATTTCATCTTGCTCCTTCTTTATAGCATAGAAACTTGAGATCTTAAGGAGCAAAGAATCTCTTTAAATGTTAGTCAGCTGTCAGCAATCAAACTAACTGTTGGATCTGCTTTTATTTCTCAGCCATATAGTCCATCCAAACATGCTCATTCCTGTTGAAGTTCCAATTGCTTGGGAAGATGGTGGGGTCCCCACATTATGGTGAAAAGATGTTAACAAAAGGGGCCCAGCTGATACCACCCAATGCCTGATAACCACTTCCTATTTACCTGTGCATTAAAGCCACACCTCTGGAGGCTTTCTTGGTGGTACCCTTACTTCAGAAGAATGGGAGACTTATCACCAATATTACAGCCACATGAACCATTTGCACAAAATATCCTCATATAATACAGAAATTCTGAAAAAAAAACCCTGCTGTCTGGTTCATGTAGTAGTTGACCCAGATATACTGTCCATTTTGCCATTACAGCTTCTACTCCAATTTTAGTCTCCCAATCTGACATCATCAAAATTTCTTTTTTCCAGTGTTGTGACAAGTTTGCTTTTGCAATTGTTAACAAATATCTTAGCAAGCTGTGATTTTTTTGTTTTGTTTTGTTTTGTTTCTGGAATTATACCTAATAAAAATATATGGCTGCAGTTTGAAATGTATTGTTTGGATTTTTTTTGAATATGTTGATTATTTCTTTATGGTACCTTTGAGGTTTTTAACATAATCGCCACATTTGGTAGAATTGTTCTTGCTTTGTTGTGGCATTTCCAACCATCAGTCTTGATTCAAGCTGTTCCTATTTCCTCATTGCTAGAGGGACAGATGAAGTCATTTTGTCAGCAACTACCAACTCCGCGTATCCCCGTCTTCTAATATCTCAGTATCTTTAAATGATCTGGTTATTTAATCTCTCTTTTATTACATCTGTATGTAGCCTATCATTCTGCCTTTGTACCACAGTTGCTCGTCTCCTCTGACCCTCCCCAAATCTTGCCTTCCTACAGCCCATCTTGTTGCATCTCAAATATTTTCAAGCTCTTGCTCTCCGATATGGCAGCAAAAATTTTTTGTTGCTGACCGCTGCATTGCTAGGAGACAAACACATGTCTGGCCTTGTGCAGGCCAGTTTCCGCCTGAGTGCCCCAAGTCACATATCTCCAGCATCATCTCCAGCACTGAAGAGCAGATGGTAAAATAAATGAAAGCAGTCTTGCTAGGAGAATGAAGGGGATGCCTGTTTAGGATAACCCTAATTCAAATATATTTTAATTCATATTAATACTCTTGATTATCACATTTCAATTGTTTCCTAGCACTGTGAAGTAAATTATAATTTTGGTGTCAGTATCAACTGGAACATACCAATGGCTGGAAAAATCCTAGACTCTATCTAGGATTTTATATAAAAAGATTCATGGTCAGCTAAAAACAAGACAACATTGAGAGAGAGATGACGGGCTTTACGAACAAGGTAAAAGTCTCATGTCCAGTGCTAAAATTTGTAGTATTTTCCAAATTGATGACATTCATAAGTAACAAACACAGAGCCAAGAAATAATTAGTACAATTAGTACAATTGGACTATTGTAATGCTCTCTACATGGGGCTCCCCTTGAAGAGCACTCGGAGGCTCCAACTGGTCCAGAATGCGGCCGTGCGGGTGGTTATGGGCGCAACTCGTTGTGCCCATGTGACATCCCTCCTGCGCGAGCTGCACTGGCTCCCAGTGGTCTTCCGGGTGCGATTCAAGGTGTTGGTTACCACCTTTAAAGCGCTCCATGGCATAGGACCGGGTACCTCCGAGACCATCTCCTGCCACCAATAGCCTCCCACCGACCAGTTCGCTCCCACAGAGAGGGTCTCCTCAGGGTGCCATCGGCCAAGTTATGTCGGCTGGCGACACCCAGGGGGAGGGCCTTCTCTGTGGGAGCCCCAGCCCTGTGGAACGAACTGCCCACGGAAATACGTAAGATCTCCGACCTCCGGGTGTTTCGCTGCGCACTGAAGACCCTGTTGTTCCGCCAGGCCGGACTATCAACAAAATAGTTTTAAATTGGGGTATTTAAATTTTTTGGGGTTTTAAATCTGAGCCAATTTATTTAATTATTTTAAATTTTAAATTGTTGTTTGTCTGTGTTTTTAAATAGGCTGTACACCGCCCTGAGTCCTTCGGGAGAATGGCGGTATAGAAATAAAATTATTATTATTATTATTATTAATTTCTGCTTGGCGAAGAAAAATAGGTTTATAGAAAGTAGCCTGTAAGTCTTCTTTAACTATGTGCTCTCTATCCCTTCTCTTCTGCTAGCTGTCACTTCTGTTTAGCCATTTTTCCTATCCGTAAGGAATGAAAGCCACACCATGTAGTGTAGTATGAAGATAATGTTAAAGGAGCATTGCAAGAATGATTACATAAACATCACGGGGGGGTGGGGGGAAGGGAAAATAAATAAATTCAAGAATATGTCATTTTGATTCTCTTTGATGCAAGAGGGAGCAATATTCAGTTATTATATGCTAAAAAAACGAAGGGTTAGGGATTACAATTTTAATCTTAAAAATTGTCAGGGTTACCGCTGTATTCTATTCAGGACTAGCCTGAATGTGAGCAGTATCAACTATCAACAGCAGTAGAAGCTGTTGTGGTTCAATTCTTGCCTAAGAAAACTGTTCTTAGATCTTCAACCATGATAATATAGAGAATAGAAAGAGCTTTGTTTAGAGACGCAGCTTTTGCATGTAACTCTCCCACTAAAGCAGAATTTAATTTGCCCCTTTGACACAATCATACATTTGTTTATATTTAAGAGCTGTGCATCTCTCTCACAGAGGAAGTCTGTACAATAAAATATTAAAATCAGTATACAAAATTTAAGAGGCAAGAAATGCTAGAAATTAATCAAAAAGTGGGAGGGCTTATTAGCCATAAATGAAATTTGGAATACCAATGTAGATTATTATTGCTGCATCATTTACTTGTTAATTGTCCCTACAAAATACAGACGTTTTAAAGAAAAATATTTTTAAAAGAATGATGGCTAAAAAAATATGTTCACATATTGATGTGAATCTTGGTAAAGAGTCTAGATTACATACAAATGTTATATTTCAAGCTACAAATGTTTGTTTTTCCAATATTAGATTATGGATTTGCTTTTCTTAATGTTAATCCAGAACCAAGTATGAAGTTGGACTGGGCTATCTCCATTATGACTTATGAAATAAGCCATTTCAGGTGTAGATTGCTCTGCCAATCATATTGTGCTATTTCTGCCATCAACTATATGCAATGCTCCATGTGGCCTCTGAGCTCATTATGCAATCACAATCAATGGTTATCAATGGCTTGGATTCAATTCATGTACATTTTACTATACAAGTTGCCATAACAGATCAATTCTAAGAAATGATCTGCTTTTTAAAAAAACTTGCATGGATTTTTAAAAGCACAAATTCATCAAATCCACCCAAGATTCCATGTCTGCCTGCTTGCTTGCTGACCTGAACTTGACTATGTTCAAGTATCGTCAAATGAACCTCACATGTAATCACACCTTTTTTCATTCATGCTGCCATCTGACAAGTACAAATAGGACAATAGCTCAGAAAGGTTAAGAAAACTTCATATCTGAATATCCCAAATATAAATCTTCCTTCAGGATCATGTTAACAAAACCATGAATGGAAAAACTTCAGATGATTCTAACGTCCAGTACAGGACTAGAAATATGGTAGTTGCCAAACTGCCCAACATTCTCAATTTGCAATTTTCTCTACCAATTATTTCATCTTAACAAAGTACACTTAGAACATGAAAGTAAACAATGGTAGTAATAAGAGGAATGCAATATCCTCTTGGACTTACCCAAACATATTTAACTGTATATACTGAAATAATGTATTTACCTGTTGATCTCTTCTAAGTATCCAGCAACATGTAGCAACATTAATATTAATAAGTGTGTGTGGGATATAGCAAGGTACAGCTGGGCTGTGCAAAGCACTTTGTGAAATAACCAAAGCGTGCCATCAAACCTACTGCTCAAGCGTCAAAGCTGTATCTCTCAAAGGTTTTGTGCAGCAATTTCAAGGGTAATTTAAAATTGCTTTGTGTCTAAACATACAGATTCAGGTGGCCAGGAAAGGTGCACAGCCCTAGGGTACAGTTACCAGATTTAAATCTGAAAGATACATTTAATTAAATATTGATACACTCAGAATAGTGTAACTTGTGACCTAACTATTCAACTCAAACTTGTTGAAAAACATTTGATATGGTCTTTAAATTGCAGATTTTGCTTTCTTAATGAGCCAGATGACCTTTTGCAAAGAGCACTGAGCTCTTTTTCTTTCCACACAAGAAAAAAAGAAAGAAAGAAAGCTAGTCCAAGAAGAGCAACAGTTTCGGAAAGCAACTCAAGTAAATTAGAAGCAAGTAGACTTAGGTAGAACTATCCATTTCTTGCAACAGGAATAAAATGTTTTCTCTTCTGGTAGCATTGAAGGGCTGATAGTTTGAAATCCTACCCTTTTCATATTATTCAAATTTACCCAAGCATTGCACCAACATCATTTTTGGTTCACTCATTTTGTATGTAGTAAGATATACCAGATTCAATATCTGTGGATTTCTATCATTTTTGTTTGAAATTAAATTTATGATGGATTTCTGTCCCATTTCTAGCTGGCAGAATCATTATTGAAAGGCTTTTTAAAAACAACAACAATAGGAACTTTTGGAACTATGTGCAATGACCTGCTCTGAGCCCCCAGCTCATTATGACAAGTCTTTTCAGTATAATTTTTATAATAATTTCAGTTTAAAATAAATTATAAAATAAATTATAAAATAAATAATATAAATATATATAATATAATAAATATATAAAAATTTATATAATTTCAGTTTAAAATAAACACATTCTTTATTATTCCCAGCAGATTCTTTGTATACCATTATAGTGATGTTAAAAAGTCCACCAGTTAGTTTCATGATATGAACAATAATAGTAAGATATGAAAAAACCCTGGAAAATTGATCTATTAACCTGCAATGTTTTTAGAATATAGTACTATAAATGACATTGTACAAAGTGGTGTCTCAACCTTTTTCCTGCATTAAAATAATTGGTACCCCTGCAGTTAGAAAAGGCAACAAAAAGGTTTTAGTTACTAACATTCAAATAGAACTCCACCAAATGACATTTTGAGATGGCAGAAAAAAAGTTAAAGAAAAGCTTTTTAAGGATTAAGAATTTTGACCTTTAGAAAACTAAAGTTGAAATATATCTTTTATATTGATTTCTGAATAACAATTACCTGATATAACTCAACTGTAAGAAACAGATTGTCCGGGTTGTTGAAATGTCCAGAGTAATGGTATGTTTGTTAATTTTTGATAGATTTCTCCTTATGAAATTTGTCAAATATTTCACAGTATTTAAACTCTGAATTCATGCAAAAATGATAACCAAAAACAATGTTTCTTGTAAAAAGGTCCATCACAGGAAAAACAGTAAGCAGATGAGATCTGAAATAATAGTTGAAGAATTATAATTCTCTATGATGGAAAGCAAATGACCATACAACAAAAACCTACTTTCCATGTTCAAATGATTTTGCCTATTAGTGTGTTTTCTTTTTAATTCACCATATTGTACTTAAGGACACCTCATACCAATGAATGAAAAATTTCTATTTTCTCTTTGTACAATTGGTGGAAAGAATTTGCCACAATGTGAAAAGGAGCTTCAAAATTTTCCATCTCTTTCTGTAAAGAAAAAAAGAAACAATTACAAATGGATGTATAGAGTTATTTCATCAAGCTACTGCATAAATCAACCAAAGTAATCCAGCCTTTCTTCAAAATGAAAATAAATGCATTAAGATATATCCAGTAAAGTAAGGCTACTCACTACTGATATTTCACAGTATTCCAAGCCATTTGCTTCTGCCCACTGTTGTGCTTGTTTGCGCTCTACAACTCTCCTATCACTTAAATCAATCTTATTGCCCACCAGGACACCTAAAAAAAAAAAAAGAAAAAGAAAAGGGAATATTGGATTGTTACAGATAAGCAAGCTAACAAGTTAAAAAGAATTGTCTGACATTTATCAAGAGAAAAGGATAACAAAGGAATAAGCTAGAATATAAATTTTACAATTCTGTAATGCATGGTTGAGTAAACTGAAGAAAGCAATTGTTTGGAATTAAGCTTCTGATTTCCAGCATATTTGAGGAGTATGAGATATAGAAACAAAATATATATGCAAAGACATTTAAAATTTCCTACCTGGAGTATGAATGCCTGATGTTTGGATTCTCAGCTTTTCCAGCCATTTAGCAGAGTTATTGAAAGATTGCTCATTGGTGACATCGTACACAAGGCACAGGGCATTGGGCTGTTCCCACTATATAGTAAAAGGAAAACACCATAACTTATGCTGAAATAAATCACCCATATAATCCTACAGCCTCTAAAAGGAAAATGACAACATGTTGTTGTAGAACATAATAAAATACAGTTTAAAATGGTCCCCCCCCCCCCAAATCCAGAATCCATTCCATTTGGAAATATCATTTATTTATAAAAGGGGACATGTTTTTTTAATTTTTAAATATATATCTATCCAAAAATGTATGAATGAACAAAACATTTAATAAGAGTATATTTGTTTTGAAGTCTGGAATATCAGCCATATCCAAGGAAACAAAGCGATTTGATTCAAGACAGAAATAAATTAGAGGAAGAAAAAACGTTGCCTTTAATTGCAATTAAACTTCCTACTTTTAAAAAAAATTAGAGACATTGTTAAGTAAATGTGGGCTACCTTTACTCTTTGAATTATCAATTAAAAAAGCAAATTAAAAGTTACCACTACTTCTGTGTTTTAAACTTGCAAAACAAGAATACATATTCAAGATCTCTGAACAATTAAGCTATAGAAAATAACACAACTGTACTTTCTAGCACAAGTATCAGACCAGCTACCATTGCATGAAGACATATAGCATGTTTTCTTCTAAACGGGCATATTTGATCTCTGGGACACCTCCTAAATGATAGGTTATGTCAGTGCTGGGTTGCTACAGGTTTGCCCCGGTTCATGCGAACTGGTAGCAGTGGCGGCGGGAGGCTCCTCCCACCCGCCTGGACGTCATCAAATACGATCTGCGCAAGCGCAGAAGCGAACTGGTAGCAAAGGTAAGTGAAACCCACCCCTGGTTATGGTTTTCTTTCACAAAGCTGCACCCCTTAAAACAATCCATCTCTTCACTTTTTTTTTCTATGCAGACACAGGAAAGGAGTGAAATATACTCAGTTAAGAAACTCAGCAAATAAGGCAGTTCTAAACAGCCAATTTCATTCTTTGACATTTTTATACTGGGAAAAGTAACAAATTAACAAAGGCTTGGGGGCTGCCCTAGTGAGGAACTGGTAGTGCTTTCCATTGGGAAAGAGGACTTCAAGGAGGGAATGGCCTTGGTTTCATAGGCCAGCTGGGAGTCCTGTTGGGCCAAAAAACCCTGAGAGACAGAATTTCTTAGAGTTTATCTCATTTCTTTGGTAATGGACTTAAACTTTGGTCATCTTGCATTTGAGCCATTGCAGTGTGCTCTATCTGGGGTTGTTCTTAAAGACCATTTGGAAGCTGCAGCTGATCTAGAATGCAGCAGCAAAGGCAGTTCCTGGCATACTTAATACGGCCATGTAAAACTAATGCTTCATGGCTCCCAGCTGGCTTCCAGGTACAATTGAAGGTGATGGTTATCACCTATAAGGACCTTCATGGCATAGAGGCTAGATATTTTAGGGACTATTTGCTGATCTGGCATACTCAGAGTCTACTAAGCAATTCCACCCTAATGGAACTCTGGAAATAGAGCCTCTTTGTGACAGAAGCTGTGCTCTGAAATGACATTGCCCCTAGAGAGTCGTATGTCTGTTTAACTAACCTTGTTTAGACAAGCCCTTAAGATCTAGCTTTTTCCCCTTGGCCTTGGGGTAGAGTGGGTGCACCTCCTGCTAGATTGTCTGATTTGTGAGATGGTATTTATTTTCTCTGGACATTTTTCTATTTTGTGAAAAAAATTGTTCTACATCTTCTATATTGTACAGTCTTACAAATTAAGACTGTGCAGTCTTAAAAATTAGGCGATATATCCTATAACTGAAATAAAACAAAAACATTTTAAATAAGAATCATAGCAGCCAAACAAACAGCAGATCTTTCAGGAAAAAAGACAGGTGAATGAAGATTTTTACACTTGCCAATTTATCTAGTATTTCAGAAAAGAGTTCTTTGCCTGCTGAATCAAAGAGGAAAAGTTCCTGAAAAGAGAACAAAGGTATTGCTTAATTAAAAAATATTCCATAGTTCAGAACAGCTTTTGAATTTTAGAACTTTCAGACATAGCTGGGGGGGAAACGTCTCTTTCTGCAAGTGGCTAATCAGCTTGCAGAATAAAAGATAAATGTAATTTATTGAGTTAAGATCATAAATTCACACTCCATAGACAGAATAGCTCCAGGCCATGCCTAAGTTGCGAGGATGCCATTCTCTCATGCCCCCTCTTCCCTCAAGAACTAGCCTGTGGTCCTGAGTCACCACAATACACAGTGCAATGGAGTGAGTTCAAGGAATGGTTCATAGATCTTGAACTACTTTTCTTTACATAAACCAATAGGTCCAATTATCATTCCCAGTTAACTTAATGCATACTGTAATGAAACTAGCAATTTAACTAGCAAGTTACATATTTCTGATGCAAAAATGCAAGACTTTCAATGACCATCGGAGCTTAAAATAAATTCGACACAAAAGATGTAAAATAAATTTCACATAGGTTGTGTTCTCCTCTTACTGGGTTTTCTGATGACACAAATACCTTCAAAACATTTGGCTCAAACAAAAATATACAAAAGCCAAAATACTTCTACGAAAAATACTAATTCCATGCAAATAAGAGATAGCTATAATATTTATTAAGCTTACATAATGCAATTTGTATTTAAAGAAGGCTGGATAAGGCAGATACAGGTAGTCCTTGATTTACGGCCACAAATGAGCCCAAAATTTATGTTAAGTGAGAAATTTGTTAAGTGAGTTTTGCCCCATTTTATGACTTTTCTTGCCACTTTTATTAAGTGAATCACTACAGTTGTTAAATTAACACGGTTGTTAAGTGAATCTGACTTCCCCACTGACTCTGCTTGTCAGAAGGTTGCAAAAGGGAATCACGTGACCTTGGGATACTACAACCATCATAAATATGAGTCAGTTGCCAAGCATCCCTATTTTATTCACGTGACCATGGGGATGCTGTAATGGTCATAAGTGTGAAAAATGGTCATAAACCCCCTTTTTTCAGTGCCATTGTAACTTCAAACGATCATTAAACAAATTGTTGTAAGGCGAGGACTACCTGTATAGTATCAAAAAACAAAGTAAGTAATTTGCACACCTGGATTATTGTAATTGTAATAATAATTGTATTGCGCTGTACATGGAGTTGCCCCTGAAGACCATCTGGAAGCTAGAGTTGGTACAAAATCCAGAAGTCCAAGCATTAATGGATACCCACCAGCATTGCTGCTATGGTGATTGGTTGCCAATAGATTTCAGGCGCAATTTAATATGCTGGTTATTATCTATAAAGTCCTTTATAGCTTAGGGCCTGGATACTTTAGGGTCTGCCTATCTCCAATCTTTATGGACCACCAATTCTGGTAGAGTGGGTGTGCTCCAGATCTCTATTAAATGTTGTCATTTTATGGGACTAAGAAGAGGGCCTTCTTTGTTATGGGCTCTACAGCATCTTTCCAGAGGTATGGACAGCTCCCTCTCTCCTGGGGTTATAAAACACCTTTAAGACTTGGCTTTGGCTTTAGGCTTGGGATGATGTGTTTGTGAGCCTGTTTTGGTTTGGTATTGTTACAACTTTATGGTCCCCATGGTGCTATGTATTTTTAACTGCTTTTATTGTTTGGTATTTATAAGTCACCCAGAGTTCATGGGAGTAGGTGGCTATAATAAATCTGAAATAATAATAGTGCAACTAATTATAAGTTTCTATTTTTTTAATCTGGGAGAAATTCAGATTAAAAGATTCCCAGAAAATGAAGTGCCATCCCTATTTCTATTCAGCCAATATTAAAGTTCCGCATGCAGCTGAACACAAATAGTTAAACTTAACAAAACACAAATAATATTTCTGAGAAAACTGTCTGGTCAAGGAGTTTTTTAAAAATATAAATCTAAATCATAGCCAATCTTACCACGCTATCATTTGTTCCTGGAATAGGTACTGTCTTCACCAATAGTTCCACTCCTACTGTCTATTGATCAGAACATGGAAAAATATATCAAATAATAATAAAATCAGTTTATTTTATAACTTGTTAGGTCTCTCAAATGACCCTTCACAATACCCAGTGCTAGATATTTTTCAGTCAGAGAAACTCAAATTTAATTCTAAGATCTTAGCTGAAAAAACAAAATTAGGCTGAAAAATGATTTATTCATTTACTGTGATTTAAATATCTTTTTTTTACTAAAAGCCTTTAAAGTTTATTCTATATTATTTGAGGATGGGTTCATACATATATTTAGCCAACAATCTAAAATATACAGGTCAGATCGGCATTATATTTGCCAGTTCCAATTGAGCTTCTATATGAACAGGCCACTGTAGGGCTGCCGATTCCCTTTGTGTGTGTGTATGTATATAGTAGAAAATGGAATTTAATAGTTTTCCCACCTGAAAATAACTGGGTATAAACTGACTCTAGTGTTTTTTAAAAAATGTTTTAATATTGATCTTAAGGATCATAATTAATACTTAGTTCCTCAGTATTTCAGTCTATCATAAGGCTCACCAGGGTATAGTTTTTCTGAAAATGAGCCCCATCATTGCAGAACATCTGGACCAAAGCAGTCTTCCCCACAGTTGAATCACCTGCATCACAAATGGATGAAAAAGCTCTTTGATTAAGCCATTTCTACTTAAGAAATCATGAGTTTTCTCCCATTTTATTATTATTGACTATGTTAAACAAGCCTATATTTATACTAGGCTTTCCACAGAAAAGGAAACCCAAGGGTGTTTCAAGGGTGAATCAAGAAATTCAAGGGTGAATCCAGGGTATGCAAATAGTACCCTCCAGGTTTCCTGGCTGATTTGAATTTAATTTAGTTTTTTTTTTTAAAAAAATGCTTGAAGTTAAATAGTTAGCAGGCATGCTACAGAATGAAGCACCAACCTCCAGTATCCTCTTTAATATCAGTATGTGGGACAAATTCCATGCTTGGAATAATTAGGAACAAAATTAAACAATAAAGCTCCCATTAGAATACTATTTTAATCTATGAAGATTTGACAGTAGACATTTCCCATGCAGTTCTAATCATCAAACACCTCAGAACTGATAGCTGAAAATGGGCAAAAAAAGGCCACAAATAATAAAAAATGTGCTTAGCACGGTGTTTTTTAGGGTGGCAGTTGTTTCCAGTCATGATTTTTTTTAAAAAAAAATGCCAATGGCCCACCTGGTGGCCTGGATGTGGTACAGACCTTATTTAGAACAGATTTAGAACAGCCCACAATTTGAGGTTGAGGTATTTCTTATACAATTGTCTATGTCATACTACAGGCATTTACCCAGCTACCCTTACCACCTTTCTCCACCATTAACACACCCTACGTCTGTCTTAACTTACTGTTCTAATCCACCCTGATTCTCATCACCCACTGCAGTGCAGACCCTGTGCCAATGCAGTGTAGATCTTGGCAATGTAGATATTTTGATAGGTTTTGAGAGAGACTAATAGAAATCAGGGAAAAAAGTCTTTATTGGGGGTTCTGGGAATTATTTTTCCTCTAACATGTCCTGCAGCCTTAAGTTTGAAAACCCCTGGATTTAGAGATACTAAAAGACACCCAAGTTAACAGACATGTAGGGAAAGAACACTGTCCTACAAAGGTAAGAAAATTATGTGTGCTACCTCAAAATTGCCTTGCAAGTAATCCTCACTGGCTAAAAATTTTAGCACAACAGTAGAACACTGTTGTTGTGGAAGAGCCTTGGTGGCACAGCGGACTAAAGTGCTGTTAAGTAGCACTTAGCTGCCAGCTGCCTGCAATTATTGCGAGTTCAATTCTCACCAGGCTCAAGGTTGACTCAGCCTTCCATCCTTCCGAGGTAGGTAAAATGAGGACCCGGTTTGTGGGGGCAATAAGCTGACTTTGTATAAAATAGAACACTGCTCAGAGGGGCCCAAAAAGCCCTACTAAGCAGGTATATACAAAAGTATGAAGACTATTGCTTAAGGCATTGTAAGCCGCCCTGAGTCTCCGGAGAAGGGCGGCGTATATAAATCGAACTAATAAATAAATAAATAAACACATGATGAAGGGAATCTCAAAAGTTTCAGATTGCTGGCATCCTTAAGGTTTCAGTCAGGAAAAAAACTCCAGCTTGAACTGTTGCAAAAGCAGCAACTAGCAAGTGATTGGGTTCACAATTCCCCTAAAAGCCTAAGCACAGTGTTAATAGTTTACTAAATATACCAGCACTGACGAAGCCAAAGAAGCCACCTTATAGATTTGGCTGTTCAATTTAAGGTTAGGAGGAATCTCTTGCCTACTGGGAATCAAGCAGATTCCTCGTCCTTATTTCCAAATTACCTAACTCATTTTAAGTGCCATTTTTGGATAGGGGACCGCTGGAAGTTTCCTGACCCAAGTCTTGATTTAGGATTATCCAGGCCCTATTTTTTTATTTTTTTTTAAGAAGAAGATACAACTGAAAACCGTGGTGGCCAGTTTAGGGACTCACCCGCCACGATGCATTTGGCAGCCAGTTTCACCATGGCCTGTATTGATCTTCACCATAAAAATGGGCGTTCGGGGAAGCTGGAGGAAGAGACGTGCATTTATGAGGACTGAAATTTTAAAAATTAAATGGAGCCCAGAGACATCACGCACTCATGGAAGCCGGGGGTGGGGGGGTTGATGTAGGGAAGACACAGAGAGAGAGAGAGAGAGAGAGAGAGAGAGAGAGAGAGAGAGAGAGAGAGAGAGAGAGAGAGAGAGAGAGAGAGAGAGTCCCTCTGGAGACCCTGCTAGAAAAAAAAAGGCTGTTATGAGTTCTACTGTGGAGGACACAATAGCCGCCTTTTCTTCTCAGTCGCAGGGAAACACAAGCCGAAGCTCTCTTAGCAACAGTACACGAAGAACCCCGCTACCCTTCCATTCATTCGCCGATGCCTCCATCGGAGGATTCCAAATAGGAAAAGCCGATTGGATAAAGCGCTTCGCCAGACCGTTCCCATTGGCTGTCACTTTCATGTTTTCCCGCCTTTGGGCCCAGGGCACCGCCCATGGCTTCGGTGCATTGGTTTTCAGCATATGCCGCTCAAAAGGAAATCAGTTTGTGATTGATAAGGTCGACGGTCAATCTCTTCTCCATCGGCCTGACGCCGTCCTGCCCCCTCCAACTCTCAGGCAAAGGGTGATGTCATTCGAAGCTACAATTTTAGCGTGCGTTGGCCTTAGCGTTTTAGTTCTACCCGGTAATTTATGATACCCCTAAGAGAGTATTTTATGATTGGTTAAAATGCAAATGGATTGTACCATTTGGACAAAAAGAGTCGTTTTGTTTGTTTATCAATCTTCAAAGAAAAGTTTGTTCTGATGGATGAGAGAATCCTTTGCATATTTAGTTGTGCTTTTTCTGGAGTCTCCATGTAGGCCCCAAAGCGATGGAGTATAGAATGAACCGTCGCTTTCATCCCCGCCCCCCGCCGTTCTAAATAATGGACTTTCTCACACCGCTCTTTAACTCTCATGTACTTTCTCGCGTCTGGCTCGCTCCACGCAAGGTTAACTGAGTTTTTGACGCCTGCGTACTCTGCTGCAGCCGCTCCCTTCCCCCCATCCCGCTTTAGGAAAGGGCAGCGAGGGGTTGAGGCTGCTCCGTGTTCGAGGCATTTCTCCAACGACCGTTGGCCTCAACCACTCCTGCCTTCCCCCTTTCGTTGTGATTGACTGACAGTCGTATTTAAGGCTTGTGCAAGCCACTGTCCTCAAATCTGTGAGAAGCAGAAACGGCTTCTGGTTGACTTATCTGCTGAGTAGCCTCTGCTATCAGCCCACACAGGGCTCCCTTCATGGCTTCCCAAGCAAAAGCCGAAATGAAATCACCATCCTCACCATTATTATTCGCATTATTTTACCAGAATTTTTTCCTTTCCTTGAAGGAGTTCAAAATGGAATAGCTGATCTTGATTTCACAAAACACACTAAAGGCCAACATATCCGTTTGCAGGAATATTTTCTCCTAACTTCCTTACCCTATTCCAGCTTCTGTAAAGCTGCCCTTATTGTTAAGATCCTTTGTTGGGGCACAGAATGGAAGATGATTTAAGTCTGCCTCAAAGCCTGAATCCAGGGTTGATCTCAATCAGACCATAGCAGCAAGCTGGATCTCTTATGTAAACCAAATGCTGTAAAACGTAATGCATTTTGGATGGTGAAATTAAATCAGAACAGCTGAATTAAGAAAATGAGTCTCTTGAATTGTAAAATGGATGCTTCCCACCCCTCCCCATCACAGGTTGACGTGTTTATTTTTTTCCAAATTGGAAACAATTCTGCAGTAGCAAAACCTTTTAAGATGCATTGATTCTCTGACTGACAGGGTCAAGGTAGCAGCTCTCAAGGAAGTTTGGGAAAAGCTTGGCATAACAGAAAAGTTGCCTATGATATTCCCTTGGAACCTCCAACAAACAGTTCAATTCCCTCTTGCACTCATTTCTTAAAATTCAATTCACACTATACTTCACCTTCTTTTTTGAAGAAGTTAACAGTTTTGTTTTTATTTTACAAAATGGTGTGGCAGTGTGAGACACAAACCTAGCAAAAAGAAAAGGTATAATTACAGTGCCAATATAACTTATTCTCTGAGTATGCTCTAAAATCAGTGTCTTCAAAAACCTGTCAGTCCATCCTGAGAAGCAGTCAGTCAGTGCTAAAAAATGACACTGGAAAAAAAAAGAAATTCCAAAAGAAGGTCAATAGCCAAACAAAAAAATGAAAATCGTTGATGATGAAACCATTACTCAAGGTTTAGAACTTTTGTTATTACCAAAATTTATATTAAGAATTTTATTTGCAGGGATTATACATCTAAGAAAGGCAAACTTGTGAGTTTGAATATGATACAAGAGAAACTACAAAGGCATATACTTGTGGGTAAATTAATCATAGTTTATTCAGCTATTCAGCTCTGGATTTTGGGTTTACATGACATAATGTCCATAGTGTTGATATTTGATATCCATTTGCTCCATCTCTTTGTTGCCTGAATTGAATTGATCTGAGCAACAGTTCACCTATATTTTTATGGTCATAATATCATTGAGACTCTAAGCCATCTTGTCTTGTATTCTTGCCTTGATTTTTCTATTTTCTATTGCCTTCAATTTTTCCAGGTTCATAATACTTTAGATTAAATGTGGTTAGCAGTTTTCAAATAATTAAAAGGCTGTCATATAAAAAATGAACAGTTTGTAATTAGTAAAAAAGAAAAAGCAGGAGACAAAGCAGCTGCAGAGCAGGGGTAGGTTCTACTTACCTTTACTACCGGTTCGCAATGGGAGCATGCACGCGCGCAAGTGCAGATCGTCAATTATGACATCCGGGTGGGTGGGCGGAGCCTCCCGCCGCTTTTACTACCAGTTCTAAAAAACCGGACAGAACCGGGAGCAACCCACCACTGCTGCAGAGAAGACTTAAACTAAACAGACACTTCAGTCTAAGCCATGGCTTGTTTATCTATGGTTTGTTAAACCACAGTTATACTTTCTTCTGATTTATTCAATTTATATCCTAAATGTACTGTATATTGAGGAATTGGAAAAAGATGACCATCATTTTTAAAACTGGAGGAAGAAACATCAACAAGCTAAGCTGTACTGATGATACTACTCTGATAGCTGAAAATATGAATGATTTCCAATCTTAGTAATGAAAGTCAAGGAGCACATTGAAAAGGGATCTAAGATCTAAGAAGACTGGGAATTCACAGTAAAATTATGTTGAACAGCTCTGCCTTTAGGATTAACAATAAAGGAACAAAAAGTCAAGGGATATACCCTAGACTAGCACTTGATGGTGTAGCAATGAAAGTCTTGAAAAAGATATTCAAATGCTGTGATGTGTCTGCCTACAAAGATGAAAATTGTGTAGGCAATGTTTTTCCCTGTTACTTTATGGAAGAGAAAGCTGGACTGTAAATAAGCAGAATAGAAAGAGAATTTATCCTTTTAGTATTGGAGAAGACTCCTGAGCATACCACGGATAGCCAAAGAAGCAAAAAAATGAATCATAGAACAAATCATTCAGACTTCTCACTTGATACTCAAATGGCCAGGTTCAAATCATCATATTTCGGATACCTAGATCTCTTGATGGTCGATAATGCTGGGAAAGGTGGAATGAAAGAAAAGAGGGCTCTTTTCAAGATTTTAGAATAGGAAATTTAGTACTATTTTTAAATTAGAGTTAAAATAGATAATCATGACCCACAACCTCTAATATCTATTTCTCCCTGTGAGGGAGATGGGCAGTTTCTAAAGGTGATAAATAAAATATATGCTGGGACTGCAGAAAGCATAGTCTTGATTGCATCTAAGCAACTAAGGAGAACTTAAGCATATTGAATTAAACAATCTACTCGGTACTAGTTTGTAATATCTGCATAAACATTATCAGTATAATATCACTATAAACATTTTTGTAAGAATAGATAATCATTGCTCTCCTTAATCTCTTACTAATGGCCATATTGGAGCTGATAGAAATTTTACTTCAAGCTATCTGAAGAGCAGATACATTTGAAGGTTGCAAATACATTATCCCTGCATTTGCATATGTAGACTGATGAAGTCTACATCATCATCATCATCATCATCATCATCATCATCATCATCATCAATTTAATGATGAATTATATTTTAATAGCATAGAAGCGTTGGGTAGAGGAAGCAAGAGTTAATATCACTGTAACGCTTGGGAGCTGTTTAATAAAATATAAAGAGGATAGCATTTACTAATAATCTTTTCTTGATTATCATTGAAGATTAAAGGGCAAGGGCAGAAGGACAGTTCTGATACAGCAAAAAACACTACGTATCATCTAAACAGCTACATGTCCAGAATTTGAGATGTATTTTCATGAGCCAAAAGAATAAAAACCCTATGTAAATTCTGATCACATTTCTGCCCAGAATGTTCTCTAATGAGAAAGCCATCCAATGTGAATTCTAAAGTTAGTGAGTATGAATTGAAGCTGGAGTAAATCACAAATGTTAAGACAAGCAGCCAAATGTAAAAGTATCAGCAAAGCAAAATACTCGGATGACAATAGCACAAATTTTTCTTTATTTTCATTTACTTGTAATTCATGTTTTGGTTTAGATAGGTACAAGGAAATAGATGTGTTGAAACATATCTTAGCAGCCAAATGAAGTAATGCTATTCAGTGTTTCTCTAAAGTGTCTTCATTCCTTGTTTGAGATATGAAATTTAGAACACAACAATAGGAGAGATTTCTGCAGGGGAGCAGAAACCACCAAGCGTACAAATGTATGGCACAATCTCTTATTTCTGTGGAGTTCATTGGTGCTACAGATCTCTGCAGAGCAGATCTCTGTTCTACTAGTCCACCCCAAATGCCTAATAGGGTTTATTGGATTCCAAAGGGCATTTGGATCTGATTATAAAGATATAAATTTTTATTTAGTTTAACTTTTTAGATTCGTTTTTTCAATGCTACAATCATTCATCTGTATGCCTGGAAAAGGGTATCTGCATCTTGAAAGAATCAAGATGCAGCCAGACTCTGCTTCTTTTTTATGTGCGTTGCACAGTGTTAAGATATGTGTCAATATTATCCGAAAGCTAGTGGGATAGCAATAAATTGCTACCTCAGTAAAATTATGAGGTATCTGATTCACTGGATACATTTTCTTATTCTTTTCCCTCTATGACTCTATTATATTAGATCTGATTCTCACAGCTGGAAAATATTGAAAATAGTATTCAAGGTAAAGTTCCAGGTTCCACACTCCCCATTATTTGCAACTTCTGAGTTTAGGTTGCTAGGCCAAGCGTAACTCTTGTTCTTGCATAATCACACATCAATAGATTATTTCAATAAATACTGTGCCTAATTTATGTGCCTAACAGTCAGAATATAGTTT